CAAGAGGGCGGAGATCCTTGAGCCCCGAGTTTTAACAGCAGCCAGGACCTCGCACAAAGGTGCTAATGAGTTAATGGGCCAGAGCACTATTTAGTAGGGCCTCTGGCCATGAGCAATTTGTACTGGCAACCTCGTTCGTAGAACCAGAAGCTCTGCACCTTGATTCCTGTTTGACTCTGTGGCTTTTGGACTCGGCTTGGGTTTGGACTGCTCCGGCTCCTGACTTCCAGCTTTGAACCTGACCACGCCCTCGGCTTTGCTCCCTGTTACCTCTGGTAACGTTTGACTACGGCTTTGTCTGGTGTTTTGGGACTTGTTTAGTGCTCTGCTGACTGCTCTCCCGGCTGACCTTTGGACTTGTATTGTGACTCCCCCTGTCTGCCTGCCTCCCTGGCTCTACCGTGACAATCTGAGCATAGACTGCATTTCCTGCCTCCTGTCGTTGTCAGGCAGTGGCTGGAGCCATGCTGGGCCCCCCGACCAGTGGGAGACCGGGTGGGGCAGGGATATGGGGGGACAGCCACCAGAGACGGCATGCGGTCACTTTGGGGGAAAACTGGAAGTTGTGTCATGCCCCTCTAGGAATTACCAGAAACTCTATGATAAAACCATGGAGTTTCCAGTGAGTCCTAGAGAGGACGGAAGTCACTTTCGGGAAAACATCATGCTGTCACCAACTGATTTTTCTTTCTTTCTCCCCTGGCCACTGGAGGGCTGGTGGGCAAGGCCTACTGGGGGCAGGGCATCTTCCACCCCAGGGGGCACATGGTAACCCTAGGTGGGGCTAAGCCTGTGACTGTATGGGTCTTCACTGACCTTGATAAAGAGGGAGGGGGCCTCTGGAAAGACACAGGAAGAACCTTATCCCAATCCCATCCTTCACGGTTTGCCAGAACGCCTTCTAATCTGTTATGCTTCAGAACGCCTGTGATAGGCGGCTCTATGAATTTACAGCATACCTTAGAATTTGAGAACTGGTGGCTTGCCATTTTTCAAGCCCCTTAGTCGCTATCAAGGCTGAGCGCAGGGACAGAATGCAACGTCATACGCTAACTGTTGCCTTTTACATCATTTTATAAAAATAACCACCTTCCTCAATTTTTTTCCTTCCCTCTTGTGTTCCACCTTCCCCATTTCCCACACATCTTGCACAAACCGGGGGGAACTGCACAGGCCGAGATGCCAGCTGTTTTGGATGAGGTGAGTCTTGATAGATAAATGGCTTTCTCTTTGGATGCTTAGGCTGCTGGGGGGCTGCCCAAAGCTTCGTTGTGAAGAGGAGAACACGGAAGCACATCTGCTATTCATATAGCTCAGACTGGACTGACTCAATGGAAGTTAGGCTGGAAGATTCTTCCCTGGATATTCCATTCAGTTGCAGGCCCCTCCGTTTGGTGGTGAGAGGAATGGCCACTATTCTCAGGGCTGGCTCAGCGGCGGGCTCACGTCAAGAGCCAGCACGGTCTATATATAGGTCTTCGGTGCGGTCTCCTTTGGAATACTGTGTCCAGTTCTGGTCACCGTATCGACAAGATGACATTGCAGAGCTGGAAAAAGTACAGAGGAGGGAAGCCAAGACGATGAGGGGGTTGGAGCTCCTTCCCTAGGAAGAAAAGCTGAAGAGTCTCTGGGACTTTTCCATTTAGAAAAGAGACGCCTAAAAGGGGGGGGGGGATGATAGGGGTTTATGAAATTATGCACGGGGTTGACAAAGAGAACTTTTCCCTCCCTCTCCCAAAATATTAGAACTTGAGGGCATTCGATGAAATTGATGGGCAGTAGGTTCAGGATGGATAAAAGGAAATACTACTTTACACAGTGAGTGATTAAAATGTGGAATGGGTCGCCAGAGGATGTAGGGATGGCTCTGGGAATAAGCAGCTTTTAAAGGGGATTCAGATAGATTCACGGAGGGATGGGTCTATCAGTGGCGACTAGCCACAGTGGCTGAGGGGAACACATTTAGAGGCACTAATCCTCTGAATCCCAGAGCCGGGAGGCAGCATCAAAGTAAGGCCTCAGCCTCTGTGCCCTGTTGGGCGCCCAGAGGAACCGTGTGAGGCAGGAGGCTGGACTAGATTGGACTATTGGTCTGATCCAGCAGGGCTCTTCTGATGTCCTTCTGAAGCATTGTCGGGGGTGCCCCCCAACAGGATGGCCTGCAGTGCCCCGTTGCCATGGTGACTTCCATACACCTCACCCTCAGGCGGCGTTCCCCGGTGGCTTTGTCTGTCGAGGAAACCTTGAGTTTCTGCCGTGGAATCCCCACCCGTTGTAGGCGGTGTTAGGGGGTCATAGGGTTGTTGCCAGCCCCAGGCTCGGAAATCCTTGGAGATTTGGAGGCGGAGCCTAGGGAGGGGAGGGACCCCAGCTGGGGTTTAGTGCCAGAGAGTCAGCCCTCCAGATCTGCTGTTTTCTCCAGGGGACGGCTAGTCTGGAGACTAGTTGTCATTCTCGGAGACCTCCAGGCACTACCTGGAGGCTGGCAACCCTTAGATCGAGTGTGCGTTCGATTCACAGAGGGCACGGGGTCAGGCCCCAGGGGCATCCCCCTCCCCTGCATGGAGCAAGTGTTTGTCCGGCAAGACCCCCCCCCCGTGACTGTGCGGCGCAGGGGAATATGGACGGTTGTGGAAAGAGGTGTTTGTCCACCATGACCACTATTCCCTCTAAGCTGAGTGAGTGTGAGCTAGCTCACAGTTGTTTAGCCTCCGGCTCACACGTTTCTGTCTCCGCTCAGGAAGGATGGGGCTCCAGAGCAAACTAGTTGATGCAGGAGCCCAACGGCTCGCTCACAACTTTAATGCCAGCAGCTCACAAAGTAGAATTTTTGCTCACAAGACTCCACAGCTTAAAAGGAACATTGAGCATGATTGATCTTTACTCTGAGGGACCATAATCAGTGTCAGAGTCTTGCAGCAATCAGGAATCGACAACAGGCTTTCAGTGAAGTTTCGGTTTATTGTTCCAGTATAGGCAAGTCATCCACACACGTTCAGTGTCAGAACTAAGGCAAAAAGCGGGAAAAGGCCAATCATACATGGTTCGAAGTGGGGTCTCCTGATGGCTCAAAGCCAATCAAGGAAGAAGCCTTTGAGTGCCTAAAACTAACGGGTTCCCATTCCAAGGGAAAGCAGTGCAGCAGACACCAAGGTCAGACGGCGATAACAGGAATACTGAGAATCGAAACAACACATACCAGACCAGACCTGAGCCCGTTCGCGGGAAGGGTGGGATATTAATGCAATAAAATAATAAATAAAATAAATAGAACGAAGACACAAATCAACCACCTCTCCCTCCACCAGCTACAATGACAGCATAACTGACAATAAGCCCCATATCACAGTTTGGTCCGTGACTGCATAGGATCCCAAAGGTCACCTCTCCCCTCCTGGCAACTGGTGGGGGAGGGGGGGACTTATTGGGAGCAGCAGGGAGGCTCGTCTGATCTACAGCAACGTGTCTACGTCACTGCCTGTGTGACCTGGAAGTGACGTCATCACATCCAGGACATCGGGGCGACACCCTGGTATTTGGGCACAAACTCTATGGTAAATTTGGCACTGACCATAGAGTTTTTGCCCAAATACCAGGGTGTTGCCCCAGCGTCCCAGATGTGATCATGCCACTTCCAGGTTGCGTGGGCAGTGACGTAGACACATCACTGCATGTTGGATGGATTTCCCTCTTGGGGGGGGGGGAAGTCCTCCCCTGCTGGCCAACTGATGGGCAGCAAGGAGATGGTCTCCCATCCAAATACTAACCAGCGCCTGCCCCCTGTCAGGGTCCTTAGCCAGGTTACACAACGCAGGGCTTCATGAGAAGATAACTGTTTATTGGTAAATCCAGTACTAGAGACACGTGTACAGTTCGTGTCAGGAATGGCCGCCAATACTAGGGCCTCTGACTTATACTAGAATCAAACATCCCCCCCCCCCGGTAATCATGAGCCAATGGATACATCTCGTGCGGGCGGGCAAAGCAAGCAGGCAAAGCAAAAACCGTTAACTTTCCCAGCCGAGTAAACTGCAGCTGGAGCATCTACAAGGTCAAGCATAAGACAGCAACCAGTTGGTGAGCCAGGGAGAGCTGAGACAGAAAACGGGAGGGCACCCCTCCACATTCCAGACCTATGACAGGGCTACCTGACACCCTCTCCGTTTTTGATCCTCAGGAGGCAATTGAAGCCATTCTTCTTTAGAAGCACATTTGGTTAAGTTTATGAGCGGTCCTTAATTGTGATTTTAAAATTTTGGGCTTTATGCTTTTTATTGATGTTATTTTATATATTTCATTTGTGTTGGAAGCCACTTTGAGCTTCGTAAGGAAAGGGGGGAAATTAAATAAATAAAAAAGAGCCTGGTGCTTCTGCCACTGCCTAGCAGGGCCACCCCCTCCGGTTTGATCTGGCCAGCCTGGGGTGCTCTGCTGGGCAGTGTGGGCGGGCGTGGATGCCAGGGAGGTGCGGTCAAAGCCAAGCTTGCACTGATGGCCAAGCTGGCCCATCCTCCCTTGCCGCTGCTCCTCCTCCTCATCCCCGTTGCCCTCTCTCCCCCGGAGCACACCTGGTGAGTTAAATGGCCACTCTGGTCAAAAGCTGTATTGGCTGCAAGAGGGTAATTTGCTCTAGGGTTGCCACCCCTGATGGAGGTGGGGTTTCCCCCCACTTTTGGGGCCCCCAATCCCATTCCCTGAAGAGGCCCATCGTGCCCGATGTGTCCAGTGTGATGATGTTACCCAGAGGTTATTGGCAGCCATGTCGTGCAGGGGACGCTCTAGCATTTGGGTAAGAACTCTGTGGTGACCATAGAGTCTTTAACCCAAATGCTAGAACGTCGCCTGAACCACGTGCCCGGTGCAATGACATCACGGCCTGTGCGCCAGAAGACCCAGGAGTTGGCCTGGAGCCCCCTGCTGGGACTCAGGTAAGACCAGGCCACCCTAATTTGCTCCCAGGATGCACGTACTGAGGTGTTGTTCTCCGAATGACCTCTCTTGCTTTCTCTCCCCTTCCTTCTTGCCTCTGCTGGGACTGGCACTCTGCAGCTGTGCATGGCCACCTTCTATCGCGAAGGCCTTCTCCAATGGGTATCGTTTTCATTTTCATCAGACGCCCCCCCCCCCCCCGCTTTCCTCTCTGCTTGACAACCATTTGAGGACTGGGCAAACATGCCAAAGAGCTCTGTGCTCTCTTGATAGCTCTTCGCTGTGATGGCTCTGCATGGAACCCCCTTGATCTGTCTGATCTGTCAGGAGAAATCTTACAGACCTCTCCCATGAAACTTTGTTTTCTAGTGGGACTGTTTTCACTGGTATCCCTACATTAATACTCCACAGGTATAGAAAAGAATAAGAGTCCAGTAGCACCTTAAAGGAGCTGCGGTGGCTCAAGTGGTTAAGATGCTGAACTGCAGGCTGTGGAAGGTGGGTAGTTCAGCAGTTCGAGACCCATGGGTGCCGCATGACGGAGTGAGCTCCCGTCTCTAGTTCCAGCTCCTGCCCACCCAGCAGTTCGAAAGCAAGACATTGCAAGTAGATAAATAGGTACCACTTCGGTGGGAAGGTAACAGCATTCCGTGCACCTTGGTGTTTAGTCATGCCGGCCACATGACCACGGAAACGTCTTCGGACAGCGCTGGCTCTTCGACTTTGAAACAGAGATGAGCACCGCAAGCCTAGAGTCGGACTCGGCTGGCTTTCGAGCAAGGGAAACCTTTACCTTAGCACCCTAAAGACTAACAACATTTGTGGCAGGGGAGGAGCTTTTAAACTCCGGAGCACGACAGAAGGCAGGAGGGCCCGGCATGATGTGGTCCATGGGGTCGCGAAGAGTCGGGCTCGACCGTGCGACTGAACAACAACAACAACAACAAAGGAACTTTTGTGAGTCACTGCTCACTTCTTCAGATACAGCTAGAATGGGAGTCCGTCTGTTTATTGGAAAGTGGAGTGATTTCAGATGCGAGTGATATTAGCAGGCAAATGACAATAGCAGGTGTGATTGGATTAAGTGTGATATGCAGAGGAGTTTGTAGGCATGGAGAAATCAGCATTAGCAATGAGACAGGAAACCTGGGTCTTGATTGTCTTGAGCTTCATTATCAGTTACAATTCAGCATCTGAAATCACTCCACTTTCCAGTATACAAGAGGGGACCCGCAACAAAATGTTGCACAATGTGTTGAGTTTCAGTTTACAAACATACAAAACACCTCTTCTATTCCTAAAATTTGAGGCTAGACTCAGCAATAATGGACAGCTCCCAGTTTCAAAAGATTGTCCTGGAACTTCCTACCACACTTGCCTATCCAGCCTCTAGAACATACAGCCTCCCCCCCAAAAACCCCCAGATCCTGGATGTACCCTATGCAGCTCCTGGCCTCGCCGCTGCTGCTACCCTCCCCCATCCTTTCCTTCCCACCCGGGCCAGCCAGCGGGCCCGCTGAAACTCCCCCCCCGTGGCAATGGCAGGGAGCCCTGTCTGGCTCCTTGCCACCGGGCCACTGAGGCTTCTCCCCTGGGATGGTCTGTGCCTGGCATGTTCTCGCGGCACCAACGGCTCTTCCCAGCAGTGATACCTGCAGTGCAGGCAGCAGCATAGCTTCCCTTGGGTGGATCAGTAAGTACGCTTGTCTCTTCCCCCCTCCCCCTTCCCTCCGAAGCGAGCCCCCGCGGCTCCTGCCGCTGGGCTTCGCTCGTCTCTTCTCCCTCCCCTCCCCTCCCCTCTCCTCCGAAGCGAGGCCTGGCCGGCCGGGCCGCCGGCTCCAAAGCGGCGGCGGCAAGGCCGGCAGCAGAGCGTTCCCTGCGCATGCGTAGGGGACGCTCTGTGAGTTTCAGGGGGATTTAAGTATCTCCCCGATATTTTTGTCCAGTTTTTAGATTTTTGTGCACACGTGGGGACTGCCCCATGTGTGCACAAACCTCTCCCTCCCCCCCAGGTGCCCCCGAAGTGCGGATTTAGATATCCGCACAGACGGGGCCACTTCACTATTAGATATTTATAGATAGGACAGATGGACTCCCATTCTAGCTGTACCTGATGAAGTGAGCAGTGACTCACGAAAGCTCATATCCTGGCACACATTTTGTTAGCCTTTAAGGTGCTGCTCGACTCTGGCTCTTTTCAGCTGTTACAGACTGGCCAACATGGCTACCCATCTTGATCAATCAATACGTGGTTTTCCTTTTCAGGCATTAGGTTTATGGGGGAAACAATCCAGATTAAGAAGGGAATCTCTTTTTGGCATGTGCTCACGCCCCACCTGTGACTCTCCTTTCTTGCCTTCCCTTGGTATGGGCCTAAACCCCTCCGCACACATGTTAACTCCTCTTAGCCATGAAGGGCAACTTACTCATGGCAAACGGTGCTTTGTTTGCTGGCACCGGAGGCTTCTGGTGTTAGAAGACCACTGCAAAGAGGTTGCCAGTGCCTCTCAGGCGCATGTGGCGCTGCTTCTGAACCTTCCTTCCTTCCTTCCTTCCTTCCTTCCTTCCTTCCTTCCTTCCTTCCTTCCTTCCTTC